CTCCACTGCAAGATGAGAAAGTTGAAAATCCAGGAGACTCTAGACTAGGCATCATCATTGTTGCTAATAAAAGCCCTCAAGAGGTTGACCACCTCCCCCACTTCAAGCTACCTTGATTGATGGTTGAAACTCAAGAAGAAACGCATGAGAACCCTCCTAAAGCCGACCAAATCCCCACTGTGTCAAATGAACTAATGAATGAACAAGAAACAGACATAGCTGAACCTGTCACACTACAACTTGCCAGCCCATCTCAGTAAAATTTCAGCATCCATTTCTATCATGTATTTGCTAAAGAATTCACCTATTCCCCGAGCCTAAATCGAGGAAATATTGAGAAAGACTCATGTCCCTACCCACATTAGACCTGAAGAGCGAAGCAGCATGATCAATCTCTTAGCAGCACCATGGCCCTTTGAAGACTATTCTAAGAGTAGGGTTATCTCAAACAGACCTTAAGGCTTAAAACATCTCAGTTGCATCCTATGATCGGGCTTAGAGAGAACTCTTAGGGGTCATCCCTCTCACTCTTAAGATTGTGCCAGTGGTCCAAATAGTGAGGTTCTATGTTGCTGACATTAAACCTTCCTTTAACCTACTCATTGGTAGGCTGCGACTACATGAAAATCTTGCTATGCCTTCCCCTTTACACCAAGGCTTTAAGTTCCTAATCTCTGGAGGTGTGGCTCGGGTACATTCAGATGCTATCAAAGCGACAAAATAGGAGTACTTTGAAAAATTGAAAATTCGAGAGATCCCTCTTTTGAAATATTAGGAGAACTGCCATGATCCATATAGCATAGAAAGAATCATCTCCCTAGATAATTGATGACTACAAACTATTTGAGAAATTGAAAGATTGCTATGCTCATTACGACTTCTGTTCATACACGACATGACATATGCTACTAGCTCAGGGGTTCTGCGTAGGCTTCGGCCTTGGAAAAAATGGGCAAGGTGTTGCTAAACCAATCACTCATCCCCCTCAAGCAAAAATAGATACCAAGGACTGAAGAGGGTTTGGTTGCACACTGTTTAAACTTCAATGCAAACTTAGGCCTTCTTGAAATTCCGGCCTTCTTGAAATTCCAGCTTCGTTCTTAGAGGAATTCAGGGCTTGGACTATACCAAGACTAAATCTCTTCCGAAATCGAAGTCATAATTGAATCTCCCTTAGAGAAAGAGTCGTTAGAAATACAATTTTCACGGCTTACACTTGGAGTCAGCACTGTGACTACCACTTCCTCGACCCCTAAGCAAACTTGGGCACCATTGAAAACTAGAGCGTCACTCCTATCCATTGAATCCATCAAGGGGGTACAACGACACTTTCAAGTACATGTGCCAAAAAACGGGTTGACACAGGATGTCTATACAAACATCATGTGCAAAGCTCCTTCGTCACCATCACCACTCCCGTTGTAGAGAATGCAGTCAAGACCCTTGACATGCCTAATGAAAGCTCGGGCCAAGTCAAGGAAGAAAATGAAAAACAAAATGAGGACTCAACTACCAATGAAAATTTTGAGGCGGATGAAGAATCTCCATATGAGGAGTTCATGTTCCAAGCTGAGTTGTTTAAGACAAGATTTGATGGCAGTCCTACTGCTATTGTCGAGGAAACCTTGAACATCAACTTAGGAACTGAGGAAAATCCAAAAATTACAAAAATAGGAATCTCGTTGCCACCAGAGGAATAAGGCAAGATCATCTCCCTCTTAAAATAATATATAGAAATATTTGCCTGGTCCCATGATGACATGCCTGGCTTAAACCCTGAACTTGTACAACACCATCTTGTATTCCACGAAGGGGCAAAAGCCATGAAACAAAAGCTGTGCCGACAAAAGCCTCGCTTAGAGTTGAAGATAAAATAAGAGATTGACAAGCTTTTGAAGGTAAACTTAATCTTACATATGGACTATCATGATTGGTTAGCTAATATAGTGGTGGTACCTAAAAAAGATGGAAGAATCAGAGTCTATGTCGACTATAGGGAAATAAACAAAGCCTGTCCCAAGGACGACTTTCCTCTTCCGAATATAGATGCCCTAGTCGACAGCACCACTTGACACTAGATGCTATCCTTCATGGAAACTTTCTCTGGTTACAATAAGATCCTCATGGTGAAAGAAGACCAAAAGAAGACCTCCTTCATCATGCAATGGGGAACATACTACTATCGAGTCATGCCTTTCAGTCTGAAAAATGCCAGGGCAAAGAGGTATAAAAGTAGACCCAATGAAAATTTGGGCTATCTCAGAAATGCCACCTCCAAAAAATACACGTGAAATACGTGGGTTGCAAGGCAGAATCCAAGCTATCCGAAGACGATCGTAGTAAGTTGAGAAATGTTCTCCATTCAATCGTCTGCTAAAGAAGGACACTCCATTTATTTGGGATGAGGCAAGCCAACAAGCCTTTGATCATATACCAACAAACCCCTATTCATTTACCTCGCTGTTATAGACAAGACAATGTGGGCGACGCTAGGGCTGTACGACGATCAAGGAAAAGAGAAGACCATCTATTACATCAGTAAAATAATGGTCGATTATAAAAACAGTACACTAATATGGAAAAACATTGTCTAACCTTGGTGTGGGCAACTCAAAAGCTGAGGCATTATGTGCTCTCTCAATTATCAAGCTCATATTCAAGATGAATCCACTCAAGTACCTGCTAGAGTGACATGTTCACAAAGGGCGACTAGCCAAGTGAAGGATACTCCTTTGTGAATTTGACATCGAATATGTCACTCCAAAAGTAGTCAAGGGGTAAGAAATTGCTAATCACTTAGCCAAGCATGCCTTACCTGACTGCATGCCAATCAAAACAGATCATCCTGATGAGGGCGTCTTTGTCATTAAGGATCCCATTTGGGAGCTATACTTTGACAAGCTAGGAATGAATACGACACTGGTGTCAGATTAATCCTATGCTTTCGAAAGAAAATAATTTTTTCAACTTCTATAAGTCTCAATTTTCCCTGCACCAACAATGTTGCAAAATATGAAGTCTTAATTGCTGGTCTCAAGAATGCATGTGAACTCCGAATTGAACAATTACAGTTCATCAATGATTCTTTGCTTGTAATAATTCAAGCCAATGGGGAATTGAAGGTTAGAGACAAAAAGCTCCAGCTGTACCAGGACTTAGTTAAAAAGCTGTCAAAATACTTCAAAAGAATAGCCTTTCAATATGTGACTACAAAAAACAATCGATTCGCCAATACCTTAGCTACTCTCACATCAATGGTGGAGATTTCTCCCTAACTGAGTGTCCAACTATTCTACATTAGACACAAGAGTAATCCTTCTCCTCCTATGATGGAGCCAGAAGAGGAAGATCAAGAACCAGAAAGGGAAGAATAAGTGTTCATGTGGACAACCAGATAGTTAAAGCTAAGCCCTGGTGTCATGATGTATAGGTCCTACTCAAAGATAGAACATATCCCAAAGGTGCCTCAAAGGGAGATAGAAAAGTCTTAAGACGATTCTCAACTAACTTCCTGATCCAAGACGACATCCTCCACAAGAAGTCTTTTGAAAGAATCATCCTAAGTTGTATTGACCAACCAGAAATCGACACGGTACTCAAAGAACTACATGACGAAGGAGGACACGCAGGGGCAGCACTCCTAGCTTAGAAAGTCAAAAGACAAGGATACTACTAGACTACCATGGTTGAAAAATGCTGAGAATGTGTGAAGAGATGTTCTCAATGCCAAGTTTATGGAGACCTCATTCACGCTCCTTCCTTACCGCTCAACTCAATAACTCGAGTCTGACTATTCTCTATGTGGGCCCTTGACATAATTGGGATGATCACGCCAAGAGCTTCTAATGGACACATGTCTATTCTCACCGCTATTGAATATTTCACAAAATGGGTCGAGGCTGCCTCATTCACAAAAATAGAAGGACAACAAGTGGCCCGATTCATTACCAACAACATCGTTTCTAGATTCTAAGTCCTTGAAATGATCATCATTGATAATGAGACCAATTTTTAAAAAATGAGAAGGTAACAAGGATGTGCAAAAATTTCAAGTTAGAGCATTAACTATCTTCATTAAATTATCCCCAAGGAAATGGTCAAGCAAAAGCAACTAACAAGACTCTCTTGAAGATCATCGATCAAACTATAGAACCACTGAGCCTATAAGAACCACTGAGAAAATAGCCTATAAGAAAATAACCACTGAGAAAATAACCACTGAGAAAATAGCCTATAAGAAAATAGCCTATAAGAAAATAGCGTTTAAGAAAATAACCACTGAGAAAATAGCCTATAAGAACCACTGAGAAAATAGCCTCAGGGATGATTCCCTACTCATTGGTCTATGGCATGGAGGCAGTACTTACAATTGAGGTTGAAATACCTTCTCTTAGGGTACTTGCTCACAAGGAATCAGATCACAAACAACAGGCTGAAGCCCGACTAGCCACCCTCGAAACATTGGACGAGAGATGACTCTGAGCAGCTGAGAAAATGATCTTCTCCCATCACAGAATCGAGCGAGCATACCAGAAAAAGGTGATACCAAGAGAATTTAGAATTGGGGATCTAGTACTAAAGAAAATCTTCCATTCGAAAGTGAATTTTCATCCATTAGGAAAATTCAAGCCTAATTGGGAAGGACCATATGTCATGATCCAGACTAATCCAAGAAATGCCTACATACTCAGAAACCTTGAAGGACATGAACTGAATGATCCAAATAATGCCATGGACCTCAAGAAATACTACTCTTGAAAAAAAAACAAAAAAAAAAAAAAAATTGTGTTGATCCTAAGTTCACTTAGGGATCCCTAAAAAAAAAAAAAAGAAAGAAATGATCTCAAAAAGAAAAAAAAAGAATAGAGAGGAGAGATCTTGATCCTAAGAATTCTTAGGGATGCAAAAATAACAAGAAAGAGAAACCGCAAAAAAAGAAGAAGAAAAGAATTATTATAACCATGGATGAAAACCAAGAAATGTATATATCAAAAGGCTTTCCTTACAACATGAATATGCATGAAAAATACAAAGAAGGGACTCAATCCCCATCTCTCGAAATTGATTGGAAGCCACTTGAGGCCTCCTACTTGCTCGCTTGCTCTAGAGCATACTCTACGCTCACTGCTGCTTCTCGGAGCTGCAGGAGAAGCAGGGACGAGTGGCCCCAGAACTATCCTCGGGCCTTTAGTTGCCTGTGTCGGGTCAGCCTACTCTAGCACTGAAGTTATCAATGCCCAACTGAAGCTTCCCCAGTTGCTGCTTATATGCATCCTGAAAAAGAATAAAAGTGACAGAATCCAACATCACATGGGAGAATGTGACAAATAAAAAGAAAGAAATCAAGCAAAAGGAAAGAGTACATACTCGCTAGCCTCTCCCCCATATGAGATTCACATGCAGTGGGTCTATCTTTCCACTCGTAGCCTAGGAAGGTCCCGCACCTAAAGATTAGGCCTGGCTTTGGGTTACCCACAGCAACTCTAGTTCAGCCTGAGCCTAATCTCTCTTAGATCTCAGCAAAGTACGCTCTTGCTCTCTCTCAGTGTCAACTCTCTGAAGTGAAGCTATCGTAGTCTCAAGTTGAGCTCGTACCTCTGCACATTGCTCATAGCTAGGTCTCTAGAGCACATCATCTCTTGCAATCTACCTCTCAAGTGCATCGCCTCACGGCTGACCAGCTCGCAAGGGCCACCCATGACCAACCTCTCCATGATCTCCCGAGCATGCATAGATATGTACATGATTTCCCTCGCAGAAGCCCGATATCTGTCTCCATACACCGTCAGAGGCACCTTGGCATCCTACTCACTCAGCTCATATATGAGAACATGCCTCTCCCATTCTTCCATCCAAGGAGCCATATTTGACAAATACACCACTCAGAATCGACTCTGATCACAAGAGGCACCCATTTGGGAGTGAAAAAGTAAGGACCAGTAAGAGGTCCAAATTGTCGCAATACGCGATCAAGGTTGTAGGCTTCTACCACATCCATACAAATCAAATGAGCACGGGTAAGAAAAATAGGCACTTAGTCCTCATAGATATTTGCTGTATCCTCTACAACCACAATTCAAGATATCCGAAAGAACACAAACATGTGGTAAAGTGACCCATGAGAATTTCTCAAGGAATAAAAGACAAGAAAAATCATACTATATTGGTAAAAGTGAAGTAGGGGCAATTTGGTCATTTTTTATGTTCACCCAAGACAACCTATCCTAGGAAAAATATGTGCTAACATTGATAAAGCCATCATTAAAGTGCATCCTAAACTACATTTCCTCCAGACCTTAAGCAGGGGCAATTTGGTCATTTTCAAGTTCGCCCAAGACAACCTATCTTGGGACAAATATGTGGTAACATTGATAAAAAATCATAAAAGTGAATCCTAAACTAAGTTTACAAGGTCACTACTTCTTGTGATCGAGGCTCCCCTACAAAAATTTTCTTATGCAAAATCATAGCAGGAGGCCTACTTTCGCGATATGGAAAAAATAGAAAACATGTTTGGAATTCTCTGTTGAAAAATAAAACATGAACTTGGCATGGGTAATAATCGTGATGCAGTTGTCAGAACGAAAAAATCAGCCCATTTGAACCGGTCCTTCAAGTCACGACAAAAATGGGACACTAGTGAAGACAGTGGAATGGATGGTTTCGTGCACCAATATTCAGCATACATCTTCAAAGTATCAAGATGAACAACTTTCGTGTTTTGCACATGGTCAAAAGAGATGAAAATGGTTCATATCAAAAGAAGACAAGTTTTCACGCTATGGATTCTCAAAATATAGACATGGTGATCAAGACTGAGTACAATACATTAAAAAGAAAAGAGAAAAAGCGAAAGATCATCGGAAGATAAGGGGACGCGAACCGGCTTCCTCCCATTCGAACGAGAAACATGGGCGATCTCCAGCCCACCATTGATTTGGATTGGCCATAACCAGCCAAAATTTGAAGCAAATAAATCAAAGAAGCTGAGGAATAAAAGAGGAAAGTGCCCAAGAAACAATTCCTACGATCAAAGATTGAAGAAAATGAGAAAAATGGGTCTCTCTTCACAAGAAGAAGTTTCAAGAAGAGAGCGAGGCTTTTCAAATTTGAGTGGAAAAGAAAAACCACGCCACAGATTTTTTAAAGGCTTACAGTACGGACAAGATCCCAAACAATGGGCAAAAATATATATATTTTTAAAAAGATCGGAAAAAATTCTAAAAAATTAAGGAAAAGGAATGGACCAAGAGCAAGTGTGTCCAGAGGTTCAGAAAATTAGGAAAATAAAAAAAAAGAAAAAGAAAAACGAAAAATTGTGCCTGTATTCTTCACCCAAAATCATGCATGAAAAATAAAAAAGAAAAAGGAAAAAATCCTATAATGAATTTTTTCCTTCTAACAACCATTGTTGGAGATTCATTACACCCAAGAAAAAAAAAACAAAAAAAGGAAGAAGGAGAGTTTCTAGTTTAACTGCCTATCCTGGGAAACTTGAAAGGCTGCTAGTCATCTTCTGCTGGGGTTAGATCTTCCTCGACTCTATTCTTCTCTTCTAGTAGGCGTGAGAGCATCTCTTGTGCCTCTTCCATGGAGGATGGCTCCTTCCAAACCATTGACTTAGTCTTGTTTAAGAGAGGCTCTAGCATCGCAACTTCGTGGGGAGGAGGGTCTAGCATCCCTGAAAGTCGCAAAGGATTGGCTTTCTCCCACCAAGCTTGGTAAATTCGGGAGCAAGATGGCTCACTCTTTTTTCTTCTTTAGACTGTCCCTCTTAGAAGAAGAACGCATTTTCGAGATAGACCTCAGAAGAGAAAAAGAGTGAGGAATCAACCTTGTATCTGCAGCATTAAAAGGGGAAGCAATGTAGTATTGATCGAAACGTAAGTGCCTCAGAACTCTTTGAGGAAAATATCTCTCTGTGAAGAACTGAACCCCAAGAATGATATGAGAATGGCCCGGATATGGCAGTGGTCAATATGGCATCTTCCAAGCCGCGAAGAATCTATTGAAATTCGAACAAATTATCGAAAGTCTCCTTGTAAAAAGCAGTCTCAGCTACTTCTATCCGAATGTTAGTGTAGGCCAAAGCTCGAGCACCCACAGTGGTGGTTGGATTCCTAACTGGAGGGCATAGTACTACGGTGAGAGGAAAGAAAAAATGGAGATAAGAAGGAAAATTGCTCAGGAGAAAGAAAACTTTGCTATAAAATAAATTCCAAGAAAGGGTAAAAGATAAGGATCCAAGTTACCTGCAAAATAATCATGCTTCCTTCTAAAAGGCGGTGCCCGTACATTACTCTACCGAAAAGAGCTTGGTAGATACCCGCCAATACTGCATGGACTATCGAAAATTTTGAGTTTTGCCACAAATTCCAAATCAGGGGAATTAAAGAACTTCGGTACATCTTCGTGCCAGTAGGGAGAAACACAAACCCAATTAAACAGAAAATAAAAATTCGAAGCTGTTCTTCAGCAGTGGATTTGTTCCTTTGAGCAAACAATTTCTCTAAATCCACCCAATCTCATGAGGGAGAAAAAGCAGCTCCTAAGAGTTTCCTTCCCAAAATTGAAAAATTATCAGAATTCGAAACTGGTGGATACGGCACGCTGGAAAGTGACAGACTTGAAATTTTGGCAGTCTCCTCTATGGTTAGAGTAACTTCTCTGGTAGGGAAAATTAATGAATTTGAACGATAAGCAAACCTCTCTGTGATAGCCTCTATCATAGAAAAATTCACATGGGTCAGAGCCATTAGAATAGTTCATTGGAGAGAATAGATCATGAGGAAAGATTTTATATCTTCCCATTGGCCTGCCGCATCATACCAAGATTGGAACCAAGAAGGGAAAACAGGACGACCTCGAACATCTTTGGCCCGAACTCCTTTCAAGATATTTTTGGAAATATGAATGGCAAGAGAGTTCAGAAAGTGAAGTACCTCATTGAAAGAAGAAGATTCTTGCCTCTCTTTTTCAGCAATCTAGAGTGGAATACTTCTCTTTGGAGCCATCGAAGAAGATTAGAAGATGAACACCTATGATCTTGTTGGATCTTGGAAAAAGGAAAAAAATAACCCTGATAGAGGAAAATACAAAGAAGAAAGGTTTAAAGGTCATACATAAAGAAAAACTAGAGAATCCTAAACCTGATCGAAGTAGGAGTCCAAGAACACAAGGAATCAGAGTCATTCTGGCGATGGTCGCATGCTCGACATGCCCCGTGTTGTGCAAAATGGCTAGCCATGCTGCATGTCGTGCAGCCCGACACGCTCTGTGTCATGTGTCACACCTTGCTATATACCATGACGGTGTAAGTACTCAAAAAATTCCAGAAAAAAGAGAAAAAAATGAGAAAAATAAAACGGGCAACATTTGAAACTTGGAAGAAAGCAAAAAGAGAGCATCAAAAGAATCCTGGGCAGTCAAAACAATTTCCTATTGTTAACTGACACAATCCGAAAGAATAAAATTTTTTCCAAATAGAGTCACAAGGATGACACAAGCTGAAATAGCTCATCAATCTCAAATCCAAGACGTCCAACCCGTATGACGTGAAACAGTCGGGATATATCAAATAAAACTATTATACGTCATTTTTAATGTACTTCTATCCCCGAGACGAATAAGGAGAAAGCCAATAGTAACCTGATCCCGTCGGTACCCAAAACACTGCCAGACCACGGGAACACCACAATAACAAGCCTAAAAACTGGGCGACCTCTAAAGATGTATCAGAAAAGCCTCAAATTGCATGAGAGGGTAGTTTGGGATGCCCTAAGGACACCTATAAAGTTTTGTCGCGTTCTGATAAGTTTTGATATGATCAGGATGAAACTTGGTTTTCAAATCCAGTTCCTATCGTGTTAAAAATGGACCTTACAACTACAACCCTATTTTTTGAGTAAACAGTACCAGACTACCACCATTAGATCTAGAATGTCGAAAAAATCCTAGGTGCCAAATTTCGGCTTTATCGAACCCTTCGGGACCATTCTGGGCCTAACTTACCATACTATTGAAAACTGTGTTTTCTCATTTTGGGATGATTTTTAAAGGATTATAACTTACTCCTTTTGAGTCCATTTAAGCTCAAATTTGGACACGAGCTAGATCTCAACGACTCGATCGTTTTGACATAAGGCACGCATCATGGCGTAGCTCAAAAGAAGAAAATTTCTAAAGAGAAGATGGGGGCTCAGAAATATGAAAAATTCAGATCTTAAACAAGAGAACATCCGATTCTTGTATAGGCCATAGCTCAAGATCCCGATATCGGATCGTCACAAGTATGGGTCAGTTACGAATGTGCTTTGAAGGGTTACAGTTTGGTATAATTTTTACCTATGATCGAACGAGGGATGACACAAATTTTGAGGTTAAAAATGACATATTTTTTCGGTCGCTGGAATCCCATTTTTCGATGACTTTCCAAATTTGGAATATGCTCAAATAGAGACCAAAATGGACTAAATTTACTGTAAAATGGATTAAATTTACTTTGAAATGATTGTGATAGTGTCCTCTTCGATTTTTAATAAGAAGGAAGACTTGGAACGTCATAGATCATATCGCATTGATGGTTGAAGAAGTGCAAAGTTTATGGACTTGGCCAGATTTTGGGTTCTTCTTAAAAAATCCGTTTCAAGACGGTCAAAGGGTATCAAAATGTTCACAAAAGTTCAAGAATTGATTCTATGACAATTGATCGCACGAATTACCATCATAGATGTCCAAAAAAGCTCCCGAAGACTAGTAATAGCAAGAGGCCCCTCATGGAGGGATAGTTTTGTCATTTGTTGAAAAGTGCATAGGGGTATTATGGTCATTTTGTCAAAATAAGAGATTATTATTTTTATTAATTAAATATGTATTTTTTGACAATTTTGAGTACTTTTGAGCATTCCACCCTTATTTAGTGGTTGCTCTATATAAGGAAACCCAAGTCATTTGTAATGAGGCCTTTGAATGATTCTTGAAAGTTAAGTCATTGGTAATCAAGCTCTTCCTTGTGCTTTTTCTTTTCTTTCAAATTCAAGACCAAGAGGAGAGGAGAGAGAAATGATTCCTAGAGAGAGAAAATACCCTTAGACCACCATACCCCAAAGCTCATTTCCTACACCATACACAACACGACAAACCTTAGACCACCATACACCATAGCCTATTCCCCACACCATGCACTACACTACAAACCTTAGACCACCACATACCTTAGAGTTTCATAAACCACACCTAGACCATAATCTTGACCCATCAAGTCCATGCCTCTCTTTCTAATGTGCATGCAAAGGCACCCACGGTTCAAATACATCCTAAGTCCATTCTCTCTTCTCTCTCTTTCTCTCTCTCTCTCTCTCTCTCCGTCTCTCTCTTCTCTTTCTTTTTCTCTCTTCTATTCCTCTTTATTCTCTTCTCTTTATTTTTCCCTCCACTTTCCTTCCTTCTCACTCTCTCTCTCTTCAACTCAGACTCTGGGTGGCCCTGAGCATCTCTCACTCCTTTACTTCTTCTCCCTCTTCTTTCTCACTATCTATTTCACAGTCAAAGTCACTGAGCTGTGCCTAGGCCTGGTCTGACCTTCTTCTCCCTTCACCCACTTGTCTCTCTCTTTCTACACGCTTTCATACCCCTACGCTCATACCCATTCCTAACGCTCACCTGCACACTCTCACGCTTTCATCTCGTGCTTGCACCTAGCACTCCTCTACACCCTCTCGCTTATCTCGCACCCGTGCCTAGAGTCAAGCAACTAGGACCATGCAGTTTAAGGTCCTGCAACTAGACCTCCTATATAGTTTTAAGGTCATATAGTTTGGACCATAGTGCTAAGCCTTTTATCTTTATGCAGTTAGAATGTGCACTATGGTTTAAGGTCATATAGCTTGGACTGGGGCTGTACAGTTTAAAATCTTACAGCTGAGACTATGCAGTTTTAAGGTCGTGCAACTAGATCTCTACTACAATTTAAGGTCATATAGTTTGGACCATGGAGTTTAAGGTCGTGCATCTAGAGCAAGGCTGTACAGTTTAAGGTCATGTAGCACGGACCATTGTGTGGGTCACCATGTAGGTGAAGCTTCATGGGGTATAGGTCTATGGATAACAATCTAACTCCCTAGGGATAAAACGATAGCAGGGGTTTTAGATACAAAGTAGACTTTATTGGGGATTAGGGGACACGTATGACTCCCTAAGGTGAAAGATGGAACTCCATGAGGAATAGGCTCATGATAGGTAACCCAACTCCTGGGGGTAGGATAGCTTGGTGTGAGACGGACCCAATGGGGATTAAAGAGGTTAGCACATTCTTAACTCTGCTGGGGATCAATGGACTGTAGTATCGATGTAGCTCCTACTGGGGATGAGGGATAGTGGCCTACTCTTGACACTATTGGGGATGACCAGTCGTGGCCTAGATGGAACGACCTGGATGTAACTCCACTAAGGATAGTGGTAGGACACACACAGTGATGACCAAGTTCTGGCACACATGGTGTTAGAAGATGCATGGGGCTACCATGAGGCGTGTAACAGACATGGCAGCCGGTTTGAGAAGTAGAAGCGTTGACATGTACAAGGCGTTTACACGAGTGGAGGCAACACAAGCAACGCTAGCGTATGCAGTGGCAACACACGTGGCCGTAAACTTGAGAAAACAACCGGCACTGGGTACATTGGAGAACACAGTCGACGCTGGTTCTTTTGAGGACACAGCTGGTGCTGGGTCTTTGAGAACATAGCTGGCGCTGGGTACATTGAGAACATAGCCAGTGTTGGGTAAGGGTTATTGTTCAGGCCTTGGGCCCGAGCCCAACCTGGTCCTGGTCCCTGTTTGCTAGAGTTTTTATGGGCTGCTATAAACTTTCATTCAGGCCTCGGGTCCAAGACCGACCCGATCCGGCCCATCATCGTTTGGCCTTCTAGGATGTGACTAGCATTCCTAATTTGTGGGGGGTACTTCAGAGAAGCTTTTCCTTTATAAGGGGGTACCATTTGTACTGTTTTATCGTAGATTAAAATGGCTAAGTCATGTCAATAGTGAGAGTGAGAGAGCTACCAGCGAGAATTCTGGCGATCACGCAGAGCACTCAAGTGAGTTAGGAAGGAGTTTTCCGGCAAGTAGGGGCAGGTTCTGGCTGAGAAAAGAGAAACTCGAAGGGAACGCGTGGTTGCCGAAGTTTTTCGGCCAGGTTATTGAGGGAAACATGGGGTTTTGCCGAATAGTTTCAGAGACTTCGACGGTAATTTTTGTGGGGGTTTCAGAGAGGAACAAAGGGGGAAGTTGCAGCAGAGGGCTGCCTAGGGACTTCCACTAGTTTTTGGTGGTCTTCTGACAGTGTGCTGAAAGGGGAAAGGCTTTGTAGTGGGTTTTTGGGGGAAGAGGGGAATTTTCGATGGGGAACCAAGAGGTCAAGGGAGGCGAACAGTCACTTGAAGACGAAGGGTTGCTGTGAGGTGAACGACTATCAATCCATACGTGTGAGGTCGTGCGTCAGACCAGTCGTGGCGGCAATTGTCAGGCGGTGTAGCAGAGCTTTAGGTGACATGTGCAGAATCTGTAACACTTGTGGGAGATTTGAACGCGAGTTACGATAGTCCTTTTAAAACACAACTGGCACTTGGTGTTAGAAAACACAGTCGACACTGGGCATTTAGTGAACATAGCCAGCATTAAGCATTTACAAGCACAACTGATGCTAGGCATTGGCGAACACGGCCGGCGCTAGGCATTGGCGAACATAGCCGACGCTAGGCAATGGGGAACACAGCCAGCGCTAGGCAATGGCGAACACAAGTGGTGCTAGGCATTGGAAAACATAGCAGGCGCTAGGCATTGGTGAACACAGCCGGTGCTAGGCATCTGAGAATGCAATCGGAGGTGGGTTTCAGGGAAACACAGCAGGCACCAGCCTGTGCCTTAGTGATTTGTGTACAGGAGTAGGTTCTTAAACTTTATAAAATGGCTAGGCCTTCGCATAGGATACCTAATGTGAAGAATCTTCTGAGGGGAGGAGAGGTCAGCACCAGTGAATTTACTGATGAGAGTCTACAGAGGGGTGAGCTTATTTGGCTCATTGATGCAGCGTGCAAGACAAAGTAGCCCCTTAACGTCACCTTTGTTACTGACCCCGTTCGCTTTGAAGTCCGGGAGGACGATGACGAAAATGTCCGTATCGAAGAGAGAATGACCCTTCTTCATTCTATGCATAGGAATGTGGCTTTCAATGCTAATTTACCCACTTTGGGGAATACAATG